GGGTGGGTGCCCCATGGGGCGGGGGTTGGAATGGGGAAGTGAGACGGGAAGGGGTGAAGCAGGGCAGCCTGCGGGAGTGACGGGTGGCTGCACAAGTGCATGGGCGCGTCATTGCTGCTGTTGCTGGTGACGCGCACCCAATGAGCTCCCCCCTTGACATGACTCCTTGTGTGCATTGTCAAGATGGACTGCGGCAGGAGACCCACAGTTGACGGCTGCGAAACGCCCACTACTACTCCCAGAGGGACCCGGTGCTTGAAACCAGCTGCCCGCCACACTGCAGCCAGGGAACGCCGGTTTAGGGAGTGAATCTCAAACCCAGGCGGCCTGCAACTTAAGGCTCACCTAGGTGCGTTCTGCACCTCGAGGGGTGATGGACGGCTGCTTATGATCTTTGGGGTCGACCGAATCGTGCAGGGATTTTTCTAGAATGTGGGACAACCACCGGCGATCACACGTGTTTGTGAAGCTGTGGCTTGTGAAACGCAACATGCTGATGCTGCAGCCTTCCCGCGGACTCATCTTCGCACCACATCTCTATACGAGCGACCTTCGCGTGTGACCGCAGCCGACGGCAGAAACGCACGCAGCAGCTTTCGAAGTTGCAAATGGTGATTTTTCCTTGTGAAAATCCATCATCGGAGTAGTCCCTGTCCCACCGGGGGGCCTGTGTCCTGGTCTGTGGCCGCCAGCGAGCAGGCCACCCACCAGGTGACGACCGGCGGCACGAGCCCCTGAGAGTGATTACCCCCTGGTGACAGCAGACCACTGTATTGTGATGTGCTGCACGAAAGCCCTTTATCCTAATCAAACCCAGCCCTCAATCCCTGGCACAAAAACTTGCAAGCCCTAGCCGGCGCCGCCGTGCCGCCGGCGCTGCACAATTGGGGGTTGTGTTGCAGAAAGGGATGTGACCTGTGGTTCCTGATTGATGCGGATGGCTCAAAGAATACTACTTCTCTGTTATGGGTTTGACGTGGCCCCCGCTTCCCTGGTTGATCATCAGCCTCAAGCGATTGCAGGTCATGACTAAAGAGCAGCTGCCCGCGCCAATGGCCCGCGCTCCGCTCGGCGGACCACTGTTGGACGTACTGCACGTGTTATAGTGGCCTAAGAAGAAGCGCTTCTGGTAGGTTTAAGAGGCAAAGCAAACCACGGTACTAGACTAAACCGATTTGCTGCACAGCGGGTCCTCCGTCTGTACATGGGGTATTGCACACAGTCGATTCACACTGTTACTTAAAATAGATATTTTTTGAGCACTGCTAGCTATGGCAATACCGCCTGCTGAAAAATGGTGGTGCCTCAACGCCACCTGCTGGTGCTGCACCTCAGCACCTGCTTGGCACATGAGCGCTCCCGCACTGCACCAGTGCGCAGCACAGCCACGGCGTTGATAATATTTTATGAAGCAAAACCTACTCCCTGATCTCCCAGTCGTCCATCCCGTACTGTTGTTCAGTCTCCTTGGGAGGTTCACTTGCACGTTTGGAAGGGTGAACTACGGTACGTTCGCCCTGTAGACCGTTTGCGAGTGCACCTATTTGAGTGCCTGATGCTTTATTAGGGTTACAATCAACAATGTTACAGCGTCCGCCGGCCGCTTGCTTCACAGGCGATCCACGCTCACACAATCAGACCTGGAAACATCAAAGTTGAGCCATTGAGATTCAGGTGGCTACTGATGGCGCAGTTCAAGGAGAGCGTGCACCAAGGCGCCTAGGGCGCGCTCGTCTGCACTGTGCACATAGGCGCGCATGCAGGCTTGTACGGGCGGGTGGGCAAACAAGGGCGAAAAGCGCGGCTCGGTCCTCAAATGTGCTGGGCCATCAAGCAAAGCGTGTTGAGCCATTCTCCAGGCCGTCGCAACGCGCGGCCTCAAAAATGGGCTGGGGTGTTGTAGCGCAGGGTGGGCGACGCCGCGAAGGGAGGATAGCAGCAGCGCAGGCGCATGAGCGCACGTGTGTGTTGGGGCTCCCGGAATTAGGCAACGGGGTGGGAGTGCTGCGTAGGGCATCCGCAATGGAATGCGGGCCTTTGGCACCTCACCAGCACCACCTGCAGTAAAGCAAGCCTTGTACTCCGCGCAAAGCGCGAACACACCGCTGGAGGGCAACGCGGCCCAGTCTGCCAGCTCTTGATCCTAGACAGGCGAGTGCAAGAGGTGTATGCAGGGGCGTGCAAAGATGTTTTAGAGGGGGGGGGGTACGTACAAGGCAAGATGATGACACAGGCCCCGGTTTTTTTTATGGTGTGACATCATCAATGCCCACAGGCTGCAGACATGTGGTGCACTCACCAGGAGGTGATCCGCGTGGTACCCGTGTGCATGGGATACTGTACCAGCGCAGGGTAGCGGTTTGGTGTCATGACCATCACTTGCTGGTGTCAGCTACATAATGGGCTGTGAGCAAAGTTACAAGGTGTGTATGTGCATTTCCGTGCGTGCGCATCCCCACGTGTGATGAGATGGCAAAATTTAATGAGAAGTCACAGAGAGGGGAAGATGACACAATGTGCGTAACAATGTCCCCAAAGGACTGCCGCATGTCATGGCAAGTAGAGCAGCAGTGGCTGGCCCAGGTGGAGCAACTGGACCGCCGGAAAGGGACGCTGATTTCCTTTTTCAAGGGGTGCTCAAGCTCGTCATTGCAAAGAGAAGGGGCAAACAGCTGACCGGAACCCCGCGCGCTGCCGCCTGCCAACAGCCACAAGAGTGAGCAGCAGGTAAGCGTGTACACACGTGCTGTGGATAAAAGCATGCACAACAGAGGCATGCGTAGCGTGCCCCTGAACCGCCCGCTGCGCCAACACATCAATGGACTGTGCGTGCACCTGTGTGGTGTTTGGGTTTTTTTTCGCTTGCACACTGCCAGGGCGCCAGATGGTCCAGGAGCTTAAGCGCAACCAAAAGAAAGTGGAGCGCTTGGTCCCACAGACGTTCAGAACAAAGAGTGCTGGTGGACTTTTATGCCCGCTGGCATAACCAGCGGGCATGTCGCCCCCAGACCATCAAACCTGGCTCCTCTGAACAGGCACCAAAACCCGTGGGAGTGCCAGGGGCATGATATGCCTTGCAACAGCCCGCACGTGCCAATGCCATCACGTGCCGTGTGAAAGCACAACAGTGCCCCACCGAGACGGGCCGCACAGGAAGCCCCAGGCTGGATGGTGCTGCGCAAGGCAGATGCAGCTTTTAGTGTAGCACGCAGCCCTTGCGCACTATGTGCAAGAAGGTGACGGTGACGCTTGAACAATCACAATGAAAAGTGCAGCAACCCTCCCTGCTGCATGAGGCAAGAGATGCAACACAATGACCTTGAGCACTGGTTGGTAATACACCCCTTGCGAGGCAACCATGACCCCTCTCCCGGCCCTTGCGAAGCCAGTTGAGGGAATTGCTCTGGGCTGAAATGGCGGCTCGCCTGCTGCCCCAGCCACCGAGTGCCAACAGCACGCAACAGCATATGGAAAACCTGCATGTCACGTGCGCAAGCACCTTGCCAAGGGAGCCAGCAAACTCATGGTGTGCGCAACTCTGTGCACCCGGCCTTTATTCACAACCACCAACGTGTATGCATACGATGCGGGTGGGCGCACAGCACGCGTTATCAAGCTTGCGCACAACGTTCCAGCCAGCTCAATACACCACATCTGAAATTTGTGAGGCACCAGACTTTGACCGTGACTGGTCACTGGCGCTCACGGGAGGCACTGCTGGCCCGCGATGACATCGACAGCGCTCAGCAGGAACACCGGCTTGCGGCCGGTTGACCTGCACACGCAGCCGGAGTCGAAGTCCGGGTTGGTGACCTGGAAGTTGCCAGTGACCAAGGGGCTCACGACCGTGCCAGCCGCATTGACACTGTTGCATGAGGAGAGCTGGGAGAACCTGTGGTGTTTTTGGGGAGACAAACAGTCATTTTAGCAGCTGAGAGCACAACATCCAGTTATTGGTTAGATGGAAGAACATGTTGATGACAGGACAAATCGTGGGTCTTGCTGCGTCTATTTGCAAAGGGAGCGAGGGGCAGGATGCACCAAGCCAGCTCAAACCCAGTGTGATGTCCGCAACCAACGCCCCACTAACCTGCTGTTGGTGCACGTAACGACAATATTCTGGCCACGGCCAATGACATAACGGGGTGCCGACTCGTAGGCCAGGTTCAGGGTGCCGTTGGTGCAGCTGACGGTGGCGGCGCCCACAGTCTGGAATCTGTTGGTGCACCTCAGGGGGTTGCTCCTGGACGGTCTGGGCACGCACACATTGCTGACAAAACCAATGCTGACGGGGTAGTTGGCCGCAATGTGGTTCACGGCAACCCTGGGCAGCCTTGTTGACCTGCAGTAATCAGCCAACCAAAGAAAGGGTGCATGGGGAGGGAAGGTCAGGCAAACAGGCCAAAGCGTGGCGATCGCCAGCCAGTATGCAGCTGTATGCGGCCCCCTACACGGTGCTGTTTGCTCCTGAAATGGCATGATCATCACTGCTGGACTCCTGTGTTAGAGCAGGCCCGCATCGAAACCCATGCAACAGCTGGGCAAGTGCGGGACGGGCGTCTACGTGCGTGCGCCACTCACATCTCAGATTGGACAAACTCGCGAACATTGGCACATCTGCACGTTGTGGGCTTGAAGCGGCCGAGGCTGGTGAACCTCCTGCCGACGTTGATCCTCCTGCAGGTGGATGCAGTGCCAGTCGCGGGCTCCCTCTGCCTGGGGCTCACGCAGCACCCTTCAAACGTGGCCTGGCGGACCCTCTGCAGCAGGCGGCGGCCCTGGGGCGACTCCGACGAGGTGTCCGTCGTGTTGGCGTCGAAGAAGGGTGTGACCCTGCTCGTACTTGAGCGCACGAAGGTGTAACCACCGACTGTCTGGCCGCTGACGATGCAGCGCTTGGTGCGCAGCGTCTCGGGGAGGCATTGGCTGTTGACCGTTGCGCAGCCATCCACCACACGCAGCCTGCTGAACACAGTGCCGTTGCACAGTGATGCAAAGAGCGTCGAGGCGCAGATGTTGGCGAGGGGCTGCGCGGCGCCAACGGAGGCGGGTGAGTTCACGCCGGCGAGCAGGGTGGCGATGGGCCCGGTGGTGGCGGCGCCGACGGTGGTGGACATGGTGACCAGGATCTTGCCGCTATCCTGCAGGTGTGAAGGAAGACGACAGGAACACAGGGGCTGGTCTGTGAGCTGGTCCTGTCGAGCTGCCTCTAATGATTGATGGTTGAGGTAAAGTGGAGTGCAGCAGTGGAGTGCAGTGCACACGGGCTGAAACAGACTACAGTGTGTGAGGCCCATTCAACCACATGAGCTGCACAACAGCCTTGTGCATCCTCATTTGTAGACCGACCCCCATCACCAGCAGTCACAGCCATACTTGCCCTCCGAATGCACTGGCGCATACGTTTAGCCCATTGGACGCACGAACCCTGAATGTGTGAGTCCCGGCAACAATGCATGCTCACCACCAAGTCGCACTTCACAAAAGAGCTTTGGACGCTGCTGATGTTCTGCACAGTGCTCAGCCGAGCGACCGCAGCGTTTGTGATCTCGGCCAGCCCAGGCGCCGGGTCGGGGCACACGCCATTGGCACCGCTGCCGTCCGCAGGGGTGAGCAGCAGGAAGGTGTTGAGCACCTGGCTGACGCCCGCGCCAGCTGGCTGGATTCCAGGGACGATCAGTGTGCCCGTAGCTGTGGCGGTGAACAAGGAGACGCCGTCGCTGATAGTGTAGGTGAAGGTTGTGTTGTCAGAGAAGCCTCTGAATGTTGGTAAGGGGAGGGGGGAGGCGGGCAGGATTTGCAAGGTACACAACAATGTAGGGGTAAAGGGCCAAACAGCAATGCCAAAATAGTTTGCGACTGGCTGTGTTGGCAGCAAAAGGTGAGCTCGAAGTACAGGCAGCCAGCTGCAGGTCAAGAGACTTCTGACTTGAAGCAACCCGCAGCTGCATCTCCTGGACATCCAGGCCACAGAAACTCCCACTCCTAGCTGGGGCCGCAGCTGCCACAGCTCCCAGGCATGCTCACGGGACAAATTTCAGGGTGACCGTGCCGTCCGGCGCCACCGTGACGTTTCCGGTATTGCTGATCACGACAAGCTTCGCGCCTGCGCTGGTGCTGACATCATTTGCCAGCACACCAGGGGCTGGGATCACACAGTCGGTGCCCAGGGGGCATGTGAAAACATCGTTAACAGCCGTGGGGATGGGGGGTGCGGGGCCATTGATGATCAGAACCACGTTGAGGGTCCTGAGAGATGCCAGGTCGGTGATTGTCACTGGGAAGGAGACGTTGCCAGTAAATGAGCTGCAATGGGAGTTTGATGGAGAGGGGCGCAGAGACGTAAATGAGTGAGGATAAGGCAAGGATGATGTTGTTACGAAGCAAAGATCTGTGCATTACGGCAAGTGGTCAAGGCTGACGCATGCTAACCCTCACCATAGTGAGGTCCTACCAAGCATGTGCGCATGCAGTCCCTCCAAGGCTGCCTGCTTTGAATGCCCGTCACCACCCCGCCGCTACGCCAGCAAGAATACCGCATGCGACAAGGATGCGAGGCACTGGCACACACGCACATGGGCGGGATATAGGTGATTGACCCGTCAGACTTGACATCCAGCACACCAATGGCCGGGGTGGTCCTGCCAGATGACACCAAGAAGAGGGGCACCCTGTTCGGGTTGGGGAACGCGCTCAGCGGACCGGGAGCGGGCACCCTGCAGACGCCGTTGCGCGGGCAGATGTAGACAACGTCGACCCCTGTTGAAACGGTAGCTGCGGAGTAGGGGGCGTAGCGACAAGTGTGGTTTTGGGTTGCTGGTTGCGTGTGCAGCTATTGTAAACTTATGGTTGTGCAGCAAACATGAGTAATCCAGGCATCACTCTGTCTGCCCAGTCACTTCCAGATCATATGAACTTGAAAAACTGCAAAGCTCACTCCCAGGCATGCTCACCATTGATTGTCTGGTTGCAGGTCGGCCCAGTGAAGCCCGTGGCGCATGTGCACTTGTTGGTGTTGACACAGATGCCTCCATTCTGGCATGTGACATTGCAGACTGCATGCAGGCAGGAGACCGCAAAAACAGAAAGAGGGTGTCATGGCAAAACCTAATGTGCGCCTGCCAACGCATGATTTACTGTTGGTCCCGGCAAGGCGGATACGTGATCACAATCATTGTCATGTCATGCAGCATTCACAGCTCGGTTGCAAGCGGGTCTGTCCCATCGCTGCCAACCCATCATTTGCTCGCCCCTGCAAGGTCTGCACTCCCAGAGCACCCTTGCACACCCACCTGGAGCGGGGCCCTCGCAAGTCGGCCCAGTGAAGCCAGTGCCGTCACAGTTGCAAGTGTTGTTTCCTGAGCACACGCCCAGGTTCTTGCACAATCCCGGGGCGCATACTGCGTGCGGTGCATGCCAAGAGGCAGTGAAAAACAACCCGTTTGTGATAGCGAAGCTATTGATTTCAAGGGGCACACACCGCCAGGTAGCCTGGCCTAGCTGCTGATCTTTGCAGCCCACAAGGCAGCACGCACCGGCAGGCGTGGTACAGGTTGGGCCGGTGAAGTTAGTGCCGGAGCAATCACACGTGTTTGGGGCCACGCAGCGGCCTCCATTCTGGCACGTTTGGTTGCAAACTGCGCAATGAGAGGGCAAGGAGGCAGGGAAGGGGCAGGGATGCAAAGTTGCAGAAGGATGACGAGGAATGACAGGCAGGTGATTGGGGAACAGGTGTGCAACCTCTCTTCAAACCTACAATGTAAACTCGCTCGCCATCCGACTGCGCCCAAGGCAGATCCGACTACTTGCCTGGATGTCAGCCAGGGATGTGTGCGCGTGGGCTATATCAAAACACCCGCACAGAGTAGGCAAAAGCACTCCTGGTCCCGCGCTGGCGCACACACAACATGACAACATGCCAGCATAGACAGGAGACAAGAGGTGCTGCTGGCTCGGCACACAAATCACGCGTTTCCAACATGCCCGTGCATGTAAACTCAAGTACACAACCCACCGGGTATCGTGCCATTCCCGCCGGTCGTGCCGTTGCCGCCGGTCGTGCCGTTGCCGCCGGCCGTGCCGTTGCCGCC